TTCTCGATAAATTGATAGTACATCAAATATATCTTCAAGCTTCTTCGCTTCTGTCTTTTGATTTCACTTGGTGGGTACGCTTCATATTAGGTGTTACTGGTTAAAGCGTTGTCAAACTCTGAATACCTGTGGCATCTTCACTTTTATTGGTAAATGTTTTACACCAACAGTACTTCATGTTTTTCTTAAAATAAAATTATTATTACAGTTAGTCTATATGCATTGAACACTAAGAAAAACAAACTATTCGTTGTTAAATCACTGACTCTCATGCTACCATTTTCTCACTTATAAATTGATACTCAATTGAAAAGTATCTATGTTAAATTGGATCCTTTTCTTCAAATCAGTTTAGAATACCAGAATTGATTGAAATCATCATCAATTGATAACGATCAACAATCTCGCAGCTCTCAAACAAGACAAAGTTTTATTCTAACTAGTAAACATTTCAATGCTTCAAGAAAGATTTTCAGATTACACCATTTACTGTAATTCTCAAACTGATAGACGTTCAAATGTAGTTACAGTAGTGAAGATAAATAAAACTTTTTATCTATGTTTTATTATGATGTTAACAAGTTCATTTTGATTATTTCATCAGAAGGTAGATTACAATAAATAAACTCCAGTCTTTTGATGAAGTTTGTGCTGATGATGTCTTTCAGAAGAACGATGAAAGCTCCACGATAAAACCATCCAGTTCAAAGAACAAAACTCCATCAAAATCATCCACCTAAGCTACAAATCTTCTCCACCATCTCAAACTCCGGTCTATTAAAACCTCTTAAGACATATGTTATGATCACGAAGCTAACCTCAATATTTCAAAGTTTACTGTATTAAAATTAATTTTTTTCATGGATTCCTTTAAAAAATGAGTAATCTAATAATTCATTATGACTAATATTATCTATATATACAGTTCATCTATAGAAAAACTGGTGAGCGAGATCAAAGGTCTTGGGTTCGAATCCCGCGAGCGAGATCAACTTTGAGCACTGCTAAGGAGTTTCATACTATGATTGAGTGTTATAGACTAATATTAGTTACTAAATGTCACATTTTGAAAATATGACATAATATATCATCAGTGTGGTAACTTTATTTAGGAAGTATATGAATGAAATGTTAGTAATACGTAATAAAGATTGTTTCACGGCAAAGTTATTAGAAAGACTTTATGTCAAATCACGATATTGCGCTGACTCATCTGAAAGAAGATAATACTTCTGAGCTAAATAGATGATGACTTTGTAAAACGGTCAGTTTTTAGAAAATCTACTTAAACCGGTTAATAACAAACCTATCACAGTTTCTATCTACTGAAATACAAAAGTGGATTTGTAGGGTGCTATATTCCAACGAGAATATTGAATGGTAATTGTTTAGATTTATCTATAGACCGATACGATACATATATTTGTATTGTATAATTGTTAAGTAGCTAAACTACGCATATTCATGTCCCTCTTATTATGAGCTTTATTTTGACCCATAGACTATTATTATACAATTTGCCGTTCTTGAGTTATACCCAGTCTAGTAATTACAGTCTTCCACATTCACAGCCACTTTTTGGCTTCATCTTGTACAAATGTTGTTTCCTATTTTATGGTGTGATGTGGTCTGTTTGGTTTGTATATAAACCCAGTATATTTGAAATAAATGATTCATATTGCAGAGGCTGAGATTGATGTTCTGGACTTAACAGGCAAGGCTAGGCAGGAAGAAAGACCGACAACCATTCTAGACTGCTCGTACGGGTTTCACGCGTCATTGGTACGATCGATAAATCATTAATCTCTAATTGGCAGTATCATTACTTTATACGTTGATAGGGGCACAAAACCACATAGGGTATTTCTTATGAAGAACTCAATGAATCTTATCTGTACAAATTATCAAAGTACAAACTTAACCATTTCTTTGTCAACATGATATTCAGAACAAAGAATATGTACTTAACTATACAATACAACTTCATTAGATTACTGAATTTGGATCAGAATATAAACATACACACAAACACCAGCGTCAAAGAAATATTCATCTGTCCTAAATGGATATATGTTATCAGGAACAAGATTTCTATCGAGCAATCAATTGCAGTTCTAAAGAACAATAGGTAGGTACAAGCAAGCAATGTCAAGTGAATTCAATCAATACTTTGTTTGTTATGAAGAATAAATTAAAAATGATTAGTTAGTTACTGATAAGCTATTCCCTTCAGTAACGTTTCGCTGTACTGTCTGTAAATAGATCTTGTAGCTATGCACAATAATCATAAGGATGCAGAGATTCATTGAATAAAAAGAATCATATTTCATAATAATAACCATGAGTCAGACAGTAGAACGGTTTTATGTTTCGGACACCGTAAATTACTTGATGTATTTGTAGCTTAGAATCGTGAACCGAAAATCTATGGAGCGTTGAGATAGAGAACACCGACAATCAACTTGTCCTATTTTATTATAAAAGTGAATATATAAAGAAAGTCTCACTTCCCCTTTCGAAATTCCTACAGTCTCAAAATAATTAACCGTATAAACGGAATCTTCGTGTTATTCAGGACTTCAGTAATTGAAATAAAGTTAAACGTTTTGTACTTATTTTTGAACACTAAGATCTAAGCAAACGACAATTCATGTATCATATCATTTGTCAGTTCTCGAAAGTATCATTACCATTTACCTCAAGAAGAACCGATCTCTTTTGAGGAATTCTAGAAGCAATCGATCAATCTGTTCATATTAAATCATCTATGATTGACTAATTTCTTTGAGTCGGATGGTTTGGTCGTGTTCGAATTTCTCCACATATGGTTCTCATCTTGTCCTATGCACTTCGATGTTGATTGGTTCTTATCGATCTTAAACCTATCATTGTTTATTTCTTTATTTTGGTTGTATCTTCCATTAGTTCGATTCTTGTTCCTATGTTTGTGCATAATTTCCCTCATTGGTTGATAAATTGGATCGATTTCAATGTGCTTGTTGAATGCTGATTGATCTGAGTGTCAAGCTTTTAAAAATTCTCTGGTTTTGTTATGGAATAGCCTCTATCCAAAATTTCCTAATTTTTCCAGTCGAATGTGTCTTCAGTTGCCTACGTGTATTGATATAAGTGAGGATATGTCATCATGTTTGACTGCTAATTGATATTCATGCAGGCGAAGATGAACAGGGAGTCTGCTTTGTTCGATGTAGTGTTTTATACAGTTAACACAATTTATTCTGTAGATGATGTTTGGTTTATCTTTTTCATTATTTCATCCTTTAGTTTGCATAGGATTGATTGTAGTGATTTTATTGGTTTGTGTACAACACCTCTATTCTGAAGGTTTACAACAGTTTCGTTGTATGTGCAGGGAGTCTTCTTTTAAGAAATTTAAAACAATTAGTCCCTTTGATAAATTTCGATAATGATATTAGATGACGAAGATTATCAGAACTATGTGATATATTAGCGCAATACATTTCGAACAATCTGGTCATACATTTACTTGTTAAGAGCATTTATATATAAAAAATAAAAGGTCAAATAGACAGGAAACGGGGTAAGAGGAGATAAGGATAATCATAAGAGTAATAATAATAATAATAATAATAATGGGAACACAATTTGAAACGTAATCACTCAATATAATAAGTGAATATTACCAGGGTAGGTTAGAGGTGAGAACAAGTTGTTTTTGAATACACAAAGTAGGATTGAATTTTCGTATGGCTAAGGCTTCAATAAACTTTAGTATACGCCCTTTTACACTTTTATACTGCACTACAAAAGCTGAATTTAGATCAATCTTGTGACCTGTTTCAATTATATGTTTAGCAATAGAGGATGATGGATGTTTATCTTCTGTTCTTATTGGGTCACTTAATTGTATTTGATGCAATTGGTTCCCTTTATGAATTTAAATAGAGCAATTTAAATAGAGCTCTATTTAATTGTATTTGTTTCTGAAGCCATTTGGGTGCATGTTCACCCACCCTAATGTTGAGATCACGATTACTCCTCCCTATGTATGTGTGACCACACACACACAAGTATATGTGTGACCAGATTGTTCGAAATGTATTACGCTAATATATCATATAGTTCTGATAATCTTCGTCTTCTAATATCATTATCGAAGTTTCGTTGTAGTTTCTAATATGCTTCTTATGTATAGTAGGCTGATCCTTTTTGATGATTTTTGTACTTGATTTCGTTTCTGATGATGTTTCCTGTTGGTATTTTTTCGTTTGCTTTAATGAAGTTGACTAAGTTCTAGCTCTTTTCTCTGTTATATCCCGATAAGCCTAATGAATGGTAATTTTTGGGATCCATTTATGGATCAATACTATGAGTATATTATTGTCGTATAATTGTTATGTAACTAAACTGCTCATATTTAATATTCCTCTTATTATGAGTTTTATTTCGACCTATGAACTATTATTATATGGTTTACCATTCTTGAGTTATGGCCTGTTTATTAATTACTACCTCACTCATTCACAGCCACATTTGGCTAATTCTTGTATAAATGTTGTCTCCTATTTTATGGTATGATGTGTTCTGTTTGGTTGGTGTATAAACCCAGTATGTTTGAAATATAATGATTCATATCTCGGAGGCTGAGATTGGTGTTCTGGAATCAACAGGCAGGGCTAGGCTAGAAGAAGGACCGATAGCGACACCAGACTGCTCATACGAGTTTTAGGCGTCATAGTTCCGATCGATAATTCGCTCCTCTGTAATTGTTGGTATCGTTATCTTATACACTAAACAGGGCATACAAGTTATACAACACTCTCTCTCATATATTCCTCTCCAGTTAACCATTCATGAATCAATCACATCGAAGTTAAATTGTTTGAAATCAATTATTACATACTAAATAATTCATGACTACAAATACCAATTCATGAAAATATTAAGTACCTAGATTGCTGACATCATTTTCAATGATTCACATGATAAAAACAAATTACCAATTTACTCTTAATAATAACAGGTATAATTTAGAACAAAAAAATGCATAGGATCTAAGACAGAAACCAAAAAATAAAAGTTTTTATCTGACTAACATATATGAAAAAACATGCATAGTAACACCATATTAGAGTATCATACTGTTTCATTTATGTTACAATATAACAACAGCAACAACAACAACAACAACCAAAAAAGAAAAACTTTTTTTTTCTTCAGGAATTTTACAACCTACAATGTTACATTTTAATGTGCATGAATTACCTTCTGTTTTTTTTTGGTATGGAAAAACAAACAATCAAAAACAATCAGTCATTCATATAACTGGTAACAAAATCATTTTAATCAAACTGTATAAATCATAATTCAAATAAGAGACAATAAGAGATTAGTTACTATACCATATTAAATTATTGAATAAAGATGATATTATTATCACAAATACAAAAGTATTGGAACACACTATTTATTGTATTCAATATACTACTTATTGTAAGTAATATTATTCAATCATATAATTAAAATAATAATGAAGATATTTGATTTAGCCTTATTAATATTACCTTTCAGAATATTAACTATCCTATCGAATTATAATATAATTTTAGATTTTTTTAAACCAGTTGTATATCCAGTGATTATTTGTAGTGGATTTCTTGGTTTATTAAGTATATTCATTGGATTTATTGGGATATGGAAGAAGAAAAATATCTTGATTTGCATGGTAACTATTTATATTTCTTTAATATTTATATAATTATATAATGATTAGCATATTATTGGATTGATTATTGCAACAATTATTGAAATTTCTATATCAATTAGTTCAAGTGTATCAAATAATCAAGTTAGTTACTATGCTAATAATGATGATGATGCTTTGGATGATGACGATGATGATGATGGTGATGGTGATGGTGATGATGATGATGATGATGATGCTTTGGATGATGACGATGATGATGATGGTGATGGTGATGGTGATGATGATGATGATGATGATAATGCTTTGGATGATGACGGTGATGTTGATGCTTTGGATGATGATGATTTACATTTGACAAATTGTATCTAACATAAATTCTTTTTTTCTTTTTTTAGTATTTTAAACCAGCAAATCAATCCTTATGGAATTCGTTACAATATTATCAGAAACATCCAGTTTATGAAAATCAATTTGAGAATTTACAAAAAGATGTAAGTGATTCTAATGAATTATATTTTGTATCTTCCTTTTATTTTTAGTTTGAATGTTGCGGTGTTAGATCATCAAAAGATTATGTTAAACTTGTAGATTATTTACCAGTTTCTTGTGAAAAAGGAAATGCGATTCATCTAAAAGTAAGTTAGTATTTAACTAAAATTATAATTTCTTTTTTTTTTTATTAATTTAACTACGATAGCGCAACTTCGTGGATTGGTTGAAGTGAGACATTAACACCGTTGGATGTCGGCTAGCTTAGTGGTCTAATGGTTAAGTGTTCACGTACAAGACTGATAGGTGCTGGGTTCGAATCTCGCGGAGTGCGGGATCGTGGATGCACCCTGCTGAGGAGTCCCATACTGGGACGAAACGGCTGTCCAGTGCTTCCAAGTTTTCCATGGTTGTCTAACTTCAATTAGCTCATGATTTTAACCAGTGAAATTTCTAACATTTCCACAAAACCCCTTGTGATAAGTTAACTATGGTAGATAATTTTGATAAAGTTTTATTCTTTAAGTTGAATGATATGGTTATCAAGCTTATTACACTCATATGATTTTGAGATGGTGGAGAAGATTTGTAGCTCAGGTGGATGATTTTGGTGGTGTTTTGTTCGCTGAGCTGGATGGTTTGGTCGTGGAGCTTTCATCGTTCTTCTGAACGACATCATCAGCACAAACTTCAGATAGAAGTGAAGTGTTCGAATTTCTCCATATGTGTTTCACAGCTTGTTCTGTGCACCTCGATGTTGATTGGTTCTTGTTGACCTTAAATTTATCATTGTTTACTTCTTTGTTTTGGTTGTGTCTCCCATTGGTTTGATTTTTGTTCCTATATTTATGCATGATTTTCCTGATTGGTTGATAAATTGGATTGATCTCAATATGTTTGTTGATTGCTGATTGACCTGAGTGCCAAGCTTCTAAAAATTCTCTGGTGTTTTTGGAGTTTCCTCTGTCTAAGATTTCTACATTTTCCCAATGGAACAGGAGTCAAACAACCAACTAGCATTCTTGGATATATTGATCACTAGAACTGATACAGGAAAACTGGAAACTCAAGTATATAGGAAACAGACCCATACAGATCAAATCCTCAATTACAACAGCAACAACCCAAGAGCTCCCAAAATCAACTGCGCACACACATTGTTCAAGAGAGCGAGGACACACTGCAACACTCTGGTAGCACGAAAAAATGAAGAGAAATACCTGAAGGACACATTTCAGAAGAACAGCTACCCAATCAATTTCATCAAAAAGCACCAACGGCACACAGCATCAGAACCCAAATCAAGCACAAAAATCAACAAAAGGATCACCCTACCGTACATACAAGGAATATCAGAAACCACAACGAGACTGCTGAAAACCTTCGGAATAGGTGTGGCACACAAACCAACAAAATCATTACAATCAATCCTATGCAAACCAAAAGATGAAATAACAAAGGAAAACAAATCAAACATCATCTACAAAATAAATTGTACCAACTGCGACAAACACCACATCGGACAAAGCGGACGCCCTCTCCACCTACGCCTACATGAACATCAATTAGCAGTCAAACGCCATGACATGCCCTCACTTATAACAATACACGTGGACAACTGCGGACACTCATTCGATTGGAAAAATGTGAGAATCTTAAACAGAGGAAACTCCAAAAACATCAGAGAATTTTTAGAAGCTTGGCACTCAGGTCAATCAGCAATCAACAAACATATTGAAATCAATCCAATTTATCAGCCAATCAGGAAAATCATGTATAAATATAGGAACAAAAACCAAGTGGATGGGAGACACAACCAAAACAAAGAAGTAAACAATGATAAATTTAAGGTCAACAAGAACCAATCAACATCGAGGTGTACAGAACAAGCTGTGAAACACATATGAAGAAATTCGAACACTTCACTTCTATCTGAAGTTTGTGCTGATGATGTCGTTCAGAAGAACGATGAAAGCTCCACGACCAAACCATCCAGCTCAGAGAACAAAACACCACCAAAGTTATCAAGCTTTCATTGTTCTTATTTTGAACGATATTATCAGCATAAAATTAAGATAGAATTGAAGTGTTCAAATTTCTTCATATATGGTTCATAGTTTGTCTTGTACATTATGATATTGATTGATTCTGATTGATCATAAATCTATCATTGTTTAATTCTTTGTTTTGATTGTATCTTTTATTGATTTGATTTTTTGTCCCTATGTTTGTGCATAATTTTACTGATGTCGTACAGAAGAAGAAGAAGAAGAATGAAAGCTCCACGACTAAACTATCAAACAAAACTCCATCAAAAATTTTATATGTTAAAATGTATATTTCGTTACTAGTAAAAATGTTAATCATTCTGTTATTGATATTATGAGCTGAATTTTGATCAGTCTTAGCTGGTGCTATTTGGTTACAATAGACCTATCATAGCATATATTATAGTTTATAGTCAGTAATGAGTTTTCTTTCATTTAAGGCTCATCCGCTATCTTCACTTATTACCAATACCGAATTCATATATGCTGAGAAAGACTGGTTTAAATTCACTTTTCAATGTTATTAATGTTACTAATAAATATGTAAACGCTATAAGTCTTAAATAATCTATTGACTATGAGGCTAATTTCAATGGTTAAGATCATGAGTCATGTTATGACTTGAACTTGGGTCGATTCTTACCCCGTGCCAATTGTTGTGTCCTTGACTGAAAGATTAGAGAGCAGCGTATTTATAGATCGATTCAGTGACACGTAAAATACGTACGGACGGCCTAGAGCCTCGATTGGTCCCGCTTCCCTGACTAGCCCAGCCAGTTGAGTCCAGAACGCAAGTCTTAGCCTCTGAGATATGAATCATTATATTTCAGACATACTCTGTTTATATACTAACCAACCAGACCACATCATACCATAAAATAGAAAACAACATTTGACAAGTGAAATAAATATCCACCAATAGGAAATGTCCATTTAACATCCAAGGACACCAATAAACTTAACACGATAATTATTGGTATATTTTTCTCTGCATCCCTAACAAGTCAGTTGAAGCAAGACAACCATGGAAAACCTGGAAGCACTAGACTGCCGTTTCGTCCTATTGTGGGACTCCTCAGCAGTGCGCGTCCACAACCTCACACCACCCGCGAGATCCGAATCCAGGACCTACTGATTTCTCGCGCGAGCACTTAACCATTAGACCATTGAACCGGCATCCGACGGTGTTAATGTGTAACTTCAACGGATCCACGAAATTGAGTGACACATCCACCATTGTCTTCAGTGAGTTACTATCTCACAACAGACCTGGTTGTACTCCACTGGTCACTTTTTCTCACTAGAACTTTATTACTTTGATTACTGTTTATTTCGATAATGCAATGAGAAGACAAAATTTACCAGAATTATGTGATGATCTAATTACTGTAAAGTTAATTCTATATAAATCAAACACCAATGATTTTGTTTAGAATGACAATCAACATGCCCAAAGAAAATAAAACAAACAAAGGATCTTACTAAACCATCATTTCAGTACTTATATATAATGTGTACAATTCAATTGAATACAAAATCAATTACCATGGAATTCCTAAGGTTGATTAAATTTTACCAATTAAATATACAGTTCGATCAAAAAACTAAAATCATATCTAAGTTTCTTAAAGCATATAATACTAATCTTCTGATTGAACTGAAGTCAATTTAACTCCGTTTGAACCTGTAACCTACTAGTTGACTGTTAGACACTTTAAACAATAAACCACTACATCACATTTCTATAGCTATTCCTATGCTATGAATTTTATATGTTACAACTACATCACAAGACAAATGTTAACTTGGAATCCTGAATGGAAACGGAAAAGAGGAAAACTCGAAGAACACATTACGTGGGGAAATCAAATCAGATATGAAAAAGATGAATAGTAACTGGAAAGAGTTGGAAAGGATCTCCCAGGATAGGGTTGGATAGCGAGTGCTGTTTGGTGGCCTCTACACCTCCACAAGGAGTAACAGGCGTAAGTAAGTAAGCAAGTAAGTAACATTATTTTGTTATTATTCAGCCTTAAAACTTTATTAAATGATCCATTTCAATTGTATTCTTTTTTAATATTTTTTTTATAGGGTTGTGCTGAAGCATTATATCAATATATAGAACAATCTGTTATAGTAATAATATATATATGCATTGCATTCGCTATTATTAAAGCAATCTATTTGGCTATTTCAATTCTTGTTTATCGTAAATCGGATAAGAATAATTTATCTATATAGAATAATAAATAACAATATTGATGGATATAATGGAATCAGATAGATATGTACTTCATATTATTGATCTTTTTTTTAAAACAAAGGGGGTGGGGGAATATAATAAAACTGACCAAGATACTATTACACTTCATTTCATTCTTTTTTCTTAAATGTTAACTTACATCATCATTCCTATATGTTAATTGACAGAAGATTCACTTTTTTTTGTTGCAAAATCATTTATACTACTCAAAACAGTAATATAAATTATAAATATATGACTTCTTAATTGATATTTTTTGCAATGGATAAGATCATGAGTCAGTTGAAGCTAGACCACCCTGGAAGCCCTGGACGGCCATTTCGTCCTATTGCGGGACTCCCCAGCTGTGCGCATCCACGACCTCGGCCCATGCGAGATTTAATTTATTTCTAAACAACAAATAAAGATTTTCTTTTGATTAAATGTTTAGAAAGTTTAATATGTGAAATTACTTTATATACTTAATTATAATACTTAATTAGTTATGAATGTGACTACTCGTAGACGAGTAGAGACCGCCCACCAGCACTGTCCATCCAACTCTATCCTGAGTAATCCTTTACAGCTCTTTCCAGTTACTACTCATCCTTTTCATATCTGTTTCCATTTCCCAACGTAATGTGTTCTCTAGCCTTCCACTTTTCCGCTTCCATTCACCATTACAAGTTAGGGCTTATCTCGTGATGTAGTTTGATGATTTCCTCAATTTATGTTTTATCCACTTCCAACGTCTTTTCCTCATTTCCTATTCAGATGGAAGTTAGGTTGTCCTCTCTCACAGAATAATTTTGTTGATGGTATCCAGCCAATGCGTGTTGAGTATCTTGTGTAGACAACTATTTATAAATACTTGTATCTTCTTGATGATGGTTTTAGTAGTTCTCCATGTTTCAGCTTCGAATAGTAGAATTGTTTTGATGTTCGTATTGAAGATTGTGACTTTAATATTGGTTGACAGACAGTTGTTTTGAGTTCCATATGTTCTTCAATTGTAGGAATGCGACCCTTGCTTTGCCAATCCTCGCCTTTACGTCTGCATCTGAACCTCCTTGTTCATCGATGATTTTTTGCAGGTATGTGAAGGATTCCACATCTTCCAGAGTTTCATCATCAAGTGTGATTGGTTTGGTGTTCTCTGTGTTGTATTTGAGGATCTTTCTTTTTCCATTGTGTATGTTGAGGCCTACTAATACAGAGGCTGCTGCTACATTAGTTGTCTTCATCTGCATTTATTCGTATGTATGCGATAGGAGGGCTAGGTCATCTGCGAAATTCAAATCTATCAATTGATTCTGAACTGTCAAATTTCATAATATCATTGAAATCATGAACTGATCAAAGTTAGACAATCAATAAAAATGTGGAAGTACTTAGTAGACGTTTTGTCTGAGTATGGGACACCTCAGAATTGGGTACATACGAGCCTGTATATGGGAAAATAATCCAAGATCTTTGATCTTGCATACATACTGTTGACCTATAAACTTTTGGGCTGGGACTCAAGTACATATTGTTAAACTATTAAACTTAGATGAGATGAACATGATACAAATTTACATTATAAATATCAATTAGTTATTATATTCCAATCCAACCATGTTCAAAATTAGTTATTTCTCTTTCATGCTAATAATTAAAAGCTATGTCTAGGTAATTTACTGATACTTTCAAATGATAAGATGTGATACAGAAAAATTTCAATGTTAATCCCTAATCGAATGTCTCGACGTTTGAGTTATTATCGACCAATCCTGCTTAAAATGATTGTAAAATCATTTGTCATTAACTAAGCGATTCGATGACGTTAAAGTGAACAATCATTTGTGGGATGACTCTCTCTCTCTCTCTCTGAAAGGTAACAGTACAGACCCATATAAATCATACAACCAATAAATAGGATAGATTTAGTTAACGAAACTCCATTTATTCTAAAGTATTTAGTGGATACCTCAGTTCATTAGATAACTCACTCAAACAAATGTGACATATTGATAGGGATGTAAGATGTATTTAATAGCACTAGTTGTATTGTTGTAGTTTTATACGATATGCGTTTAAGATAACCTCTAGTCTCTAGTTTATCATTGAGAAAGTGTTGTAATGTGTCAATAAATACTGATGATCATCACTTTGTGATCGATTCTGTAACAAACCGATAAGACGATTTAGGTTAAAAACTTTAACATGATATTCAAAACAATTGAAGGTGTTTTGAAAAACTAAAAGAATTTGGCGACAATGGTGCTCATATTTTTATTATTAAAACGATCCCAAAATCGATTTGAGTAGAGAGCTATGATGGTTAATAGGAAAATTGATTCCGTTGTCTCGTGAGGTAACACAGAATGTAATCTGGTACAGTTATTTGACTGAATGTCGTCAACTAGTGATGTATTTAGTAAAACTAATATTCTGAAGATCATTGTCGAATGCTTACAAAGTTAACTATTTCAGGGAATTACCTATCGCTGCAGAACTTTTGATTAGAACATTTTGAAATACTGGGATTTAACATATTCTATAGTAAGGTAAATATTAACATATTTCTTCGAGAATAAATCTAACTGTTCACACTCTCATTAGTATTATTAATGGTTGTTATAAATCCTAGTTTAAATTTGAATGAAATGCTTTCTGACATTATTAGCATAGTTGATTAATCACTTGTTTATGGTGTTTGATAAACAATAAGACTACCCTTTTAAATATACTCGTACTAATCATTGTCCAGGGATCAAAGTGATTCGAAAAACACAACAGTAATATGTACGCTTTTTCATTACATACAACACAACATGCACCAATCGCATCATGCTTGACGGAGAACTTTTATAGGATGTAAAAACCTTTACATATCTGGACAGCATCATTGATGAGCATGGTGGACGTGATACAGATATGAAGGCGCGGATCAGTAAAACGACAGAAACATATTTATAATTTAATAAAATCTGGAACTCAAAGCAACTGTCTGTAAGCCAACATCAAAGTCAGAATTTTCAATACAAATGTCAACACATTTCTAATGTATGGAGAAAGCTAGAGAATTAACAGTTGTCTACACTATTAGCAGCAACCTACTATAGGAGAGAACAAATCAGATTCCAGCAGAAGAAGAAATCAGGAAAAAGCTCTGAAAGTGAATAGAACACACATTGAAGAAAACACCGAACTTCATCACAAGGCAAGCCTTCACTTGGAACCCTGAAGGCTAAATGTGGAGAGAAAAACCGAAGAACACATTATGCCGAGAAATGGAGACAGATATGAGAGGAATGAACAACAATTAGATAACACAGTACAGGGTGGATTGGAGAATGCTTGTTGGCGTTCTTTTTCTCCATAGGGAGTAACAGGCGTAAGTAAGTAAGTAAGTCAGTCAGTAATATATACTTTACAAATATTTTCATTTATTCATAAATGAATAATTCGACAATATGAACAAGCTAAAAAAACAACATATGAGTGACATTTTAAAACAAAAAAAAATCAAAATTATTAAAATTTAGTTACTGAGTAATTGTGATGTAAGTCAACTATTTAATTGACAGTTATACATAATACTATACACAAAATGATTTATCATAGTGAAATACAAGCATACATGCAATCCCATTTACGTAATAATAATAATGTCATTAAATGATTATGAATACTTTTTTTAAAAAAAAAACTCTATGTTACTAAGTCATTTAATTACGTACCTGTTTGTTACTATGAGACAAATTACTAAACAAGTTTTTTACTATAATTAGACAGAGAATAAGTTAAAAGAATTTACATAGTGTGCATTATATCTATATATCATTGAACATACACTTTAAGAAATGATATTACTTATATTAATTCAATATGATGTATAATATATAAACTGTTCATATTTTATTATATCTCATAGCAACTAATTTCAATTATCAATATCGAACCAAACAACAACAACAACAACAACAAAACAAGGACAAAAAAGGGGGGGGCATCATGATCTTATCAATAGCAGAAAAATATTGGAAAAATATAATTATCTTATCAAATCTTATATTTATTGTAAGTTATATATTGTAATGTATTTTATATTAATCCATTTTCAGGTATACAGTATTGTACTTCTTTCATTAGGTATAGATAAATTGAATTTTTTAAACAGATTTACCATTATATTACATAATGCTATACCAATTATAATTCCAATGATTATCTCCAGTGGATTATTATGTCTAATCACTGCATTAATTGGTTTAATTGGTTTAATAAAACAAAAACAATGTATTGCATTGATTGTAAGTAATATATAATACATTCCATCATTGATATTTGTGTATTTATATTTAGCATATTGGTGGTTTACTGATTAGTACAATTATTGAATTTAGCACAGCAACAATGTCAGCTGTTTCTAAGGATCAGGTTAGTTTGATTGAATAATGTAATGCTAACATGCCTATATCATTTACATTCTTTTTTATTCTAGTTTTTTATGAAAGTAAATTCTTCATTACATGAATCTATTATACATTATGAGATGAATTATGAAATTAAAAATGAATTTAATAATTTACAAATGACTGTAAGTTCTATTGAATTGTTTATATTGGATATTATGATAGCTTGGATGTTGTGGTGCTTCCTATTTTCGTGATTATTTAAAAATACATTCTATAACACCATCTTCTTGTAAACCTACATCATATGGATTTGTAAGTTCATATTTATTGATTATTCATTGTACAAGTTGCCATTATTGATCTTGTACTCTTCTGTATCATCTCATATATCTATTCAAAACTGTGCTGAATTCGATTACTATTTTAATATATATTTTATATGGTTAAAATCATGAGTCAGTTGAAGCTAGACCACCATGGAAAACCTGGAAGCACTGGATTAATTGAAGTTAGATATTAACACCGTTGGATGCCGATTGAGTGGTCTAGTGGTTAAGTGCTCGCGTGCCAAACCAGTAGGTCCTGGGTTCGAATCTCGCGGGGGAGGGTGTGAGGTCGTGGACGCGCACTGCTGAGGAGTCCCATAATAAGACGAAACAGCCGTCCAGTGCTTCCAGGTTTTCCATGGTTGTCTAGCTTCAACTGACTCATGATCTTAACCATTGAAATTACTACAATCTCCACAAAACCCATCTGATATATTTTATAATCATACTGTTTTTACAATCAATTATAATGAATTTGTGTATTTACCTTCATCGCCAGTGAATATTTTAATAGATTTCTAAAGTACAAAGTTATTTGGATGAAATGTTTTACTCATTTTTGTAATAAATTACCTATGAAAATAATTTTTAATTTGTCTTAGTTACAATATGGGACCAGGCACATATATGCATCGCTTCAAGTTTCCACAGTACATTGTCTACTGTGTCTATGATATCATATTCTACATAACGCTACTTTTTATATTAAAGTAACGCCTAAAAACACTGGGTGATGGGAGAACACTTCAGAAATTATAACCCATGAATTTATTTACTTACTTTCGCCTGTTACTCCCAATGCAGAATAGGCCACCGACGACCATTCTCCAACTCACTCTCTCCTCGGCCTTCCTTTCTAGTTCTTTTCAATTGTTGTTCATTCTTCTTATTTCCGTATCCATTTCTCGGAGTACTGTGTTCTTTGGTATTCCTCGTCTCCTTTGGCCTTCAAGATTCCAAGTGACGGGTTGCTTTGTGATGCAGTTCGATGCTTTCTTCAATGTGTTTTCTATTCACTTCCAGCACTTCTTCCTGATCTCTTCTTCTGCTGGAATCTGATTTGTTCTCTCCCACAGTAGGTTGTTGTTGATAATGTCTGTCCAACGAATTCGAATTATTTTGCGTAGACAACTGTTAATAAACACTTATGCCTTCTGGATGATGGTTAATTTTAAAGCATTAACTCAATTAGATATTGAGATATTTGAGAAGATTTATAACTCAGATAGATGATTTTGATAGAGTTTTTTTCTTTGAGCTGGATGGTTTAGTCATGGAGCAATATCAAAGAAGTAAAAAATGACAGGTTTAAATGTCAACAAAAATCAATCAGTATAGAGGTCTACAGAACAGACTATGAACCACATGTAAAGAAATTCAAACACTTCACTTCTACCTTAACTTTATACTGATAATGTTGTCACTCAAAAGAAGAACAACGAAAACTCCATCTAGCTCACAGAACAAAACTCCATCAAAAATAATTAAATATCTTTAATGAATGAATTAGTTTATCATCGATATCTTTATATACTATTTAATCATTTATTGATTTATTTTATGTAATCAATAATTTTCCAATTTTGGTTGAGATCATGAACCGATTGATGTTAGACCACCATTGAAAACCTGGAAGCACTGGACGGCCGTTTCGTCCTATTGTGGGACTCCTCAGCAGTGCGCATTCACGATCCCACTCACGGGATTCAAACCTAGGGCCTTCAGTATGGCTTAACCTACTAGACCACTGAGCCGTCATTCAATGGTGTTAATGTCTAACTTAACAATCCCCTAAACTGATAATTTACTATTTATTTTATCCGGTTTTTCTTTCTTATTTTTTTGATTATCTTGATAGGGTTGTGTTACAGCAATCAGTCGATATATGCAACAATATATTATAATGTTAATGTATCTATGCTTTATTTTTGCAATTTTAAAAGGGATATATGTAACTATATCAATTTTATTATTTCGTAAAACAGTTACCAAGGAAAATTCATCTGTGTAAACTTAACATTAACAGCACACACACACACAAACACAAAAGGACAGCAACATTATAAATTACAAAACTACAATAGAATATCATTGATCCAAATGACATTGTTAATGAGGATTGAATTGTTATGTCAAATTTATACATGAACAGTTTTGATTTCTACATTTTGGAAACATTGATTATCATTCAATTTTGTTATTTGTTAAAAAACATCTTTCTTTAATTGTTTTCTTTTGAAAAACTTCTTCACACTAATCACCATAACAACAGATTGGTTAAAGTAATATCAATATTAAATTTATTTGGTATTGTTGTATTATTTGAATCTTCCTATTGATATTTAGGAGTGTAATTGATCAGTCTCTTATTGGTATATGTGCATACTGTGAGAATTGACTCGATATTGCTTTAATTTACAAACATTATAAGAAAATATGGATGATGGCTAGCAGAGGAATTCAGTTTGACGCGTGTTTCATTCCATTTGGAACTCGTCAGAGGGATGTACATGTATTTCAGAGTTGATATTTACTGTGAGATTCAAACCTAGTAACGTTTGTTTCAAACACTATTGCGTTATCCACTTAGCAACTGAGTTCTGATAGCCATTTACTTGTGTAATATGGTAAAGTTTAAATTCACTTGGTGTTGTTGTTTATTTGTATCTTCCCACCGATATTTAGGATTGCAATTGATCAATCTCTTATTGGCATATGTGTATATTATGCGGATTGCCTCGATATTGCCTTAATTCACAAGCATTATAAGCAAATATAGATAGTAGCTAGCAGTGGGATCTACAACGCGCGTTCCTTTCTACTTGTGAATCGACAGCTGGATGTACCTGCATCTGAGTTGATGTTCACTCTGGGGCTCGAACCCAGTACCATTCGTTTCAAACTCCAACGTACTATCCACTTAGCTACTGATTCCTAATGGCCAACAACAGGATTAATCTTTCTTGTTTGATGCTTCACAATAGTATTAAGTGAATATTGTTATAATAGAAGAATTTTTCAATTTCGAAACATTGGTCGATTTTACTATATTTTGGTTTCACTGGTTGAAATCATGAGTCAATTGAAGCTAGACCACCATGGAAAACCTGGATGTGCCACTGTGGCGCAACTTCGTGGATTGGTTGAAGTTAGACATTAACACCGTTGGATGCCGGCTCAGTGGTCTAGTGGTTAAGAGACTGATAGATCTTGGATTCACATCTCGCGGGGGGCGGGATCTTGGATGCGTACTTCTGAGGAGGAGTCCCATACTAGGACGACACGGCCGTCCATTACTTCCAGGTCTTCCATGATTGTCTAGTTTCAATTGACTCATGATTTCAACCAGTGGAATTTCTAAAAATCTCCACAAAACCCATTCTGATATATTTTGATTATTCAAGTTGACTGTTGTGATCTGTTGAACCTTGAAGAGATCGATAGAGTTAAATCTATACCATATTTTAGATCTAAACTTTTCATCAAATCAATATGATTAATATGAAAATCAACCACTTTATAATTAAGATACGGAAGTGACAGATTATCTAAGTATTAATAACCCATCAAATTTGAATGTTATGGATATTTTAATTCAGTAAATAAGATCCATGGAAATGCAATCAATAGCAGTGAAATAGTGTTTAGTCTGAGACAACATTCATAAGTATGTAAATTGATTAGTGTAGTTCTATCTGAAGTTTGTGCTGATGATGTCGTTCAGAAGAACGATGAAAGCTCCACGATCAAACCATCCAGTTCAGAGAATAAAACTCCATCAAAAGTGATTAGTCCATTTGATAAATTGCGATAGTGTTATAAGAAGACAAAGATTATCAGAACTATGTTGTTATATATTAACATAATACACTTCGAACAATATGACCACATATACACTTGTTAAGAACATTTATGCATAGAAATGAATAGCCAACTAGACACATAGACAGTAATGGTTCAGATGGTTCAAATGGTTGTGGACGGAATAGAAGGAGCTTTCTCTTAACAGGCTTTCGTGTCTATTAGCAGGGGATCACGAATAACTCCAGGCAGGAACCTAGGTATGTTAACGATAAAAGAGGAATAAGAAATTGGTAAATCATAGTATGATACTATCCTTAGACCTTAAGAATAGATCAAGTTGCCTCTTAAAAGACTTCTGGGAAGTCGCTTGGATCAGCCCAGTAAGAAAAAAACAAAGCTAATCAAGAAAACAATATGAAAAACAGTATGAAACTTACTATATCGGATAACCAACTAATATGATCAGGATAAGTTTAAGATGGGATACAATTGACATGATTTATACACAATTCATGTTTCAACTACAATAAAATCTATCTAATTTATAACAATAATACAATAACAGATGTAGATTAATATCATTAGAGATCGAATACCTAATTGGATATAAACATTAAATGAACATCTGAACAATTTTTTCTTGTCTCGAGTCATTTATGTGCAATATATATGTATGGAATTTCATTTGTTGTCAATAAAACTGATCAACATATCTTCATGTCCATCGAAGATGTTAAAAGTTTTTCACTTAGGAATCGTTAATGCCGTGTCAGTCAGTCAGTAACAACGTAGGACTTCGTACGTACGTACATCAGTTCGAGTTGCCATACCACATTATCACACAGATACAATTGTCGATTCAAATCCCATAGTGATAGAGGTGGTAAGAGCATAAGCAGTAATCGGAAACATTAGGGTTTGAAGATGTTATTCAAGGAGTATAATACAGTGAAATAAATTTGGAAAGAAAATAAGGGACATGAAGAATTCAGAAGATTAGAATTTAGGAGAACACAAAGAGTGTATGCACCTGCGCCATTCTGAGCCATGTCATTCAAGGTCTCTAACCATCGGTTGCTATCATCTCGCGGTTAATGCTGTGTACAACTATTGATTCGTTTTGTAAACATACCTAAAAAACTATCACCGTAAAAAATATTCAAATTAATAATTACTGCTAAAAAATGGGAACCACAGCATATTCTTCAAAAAGCAAATCAATGTGCATTGATCTGCTGAAGGTATAGAATGGTATATGTTCTAGGTAGAAGAAAGAACAAGGGAAATTATAAACTTTTTTTCAAACACAGAAATTACATTGATGAGAAGTAATGAGAACAAGTTTTAATAGTTAAATTCATGAGTTCATTAAGGCTAGACCACTATGAAAAACCTGGAAGGACTGAACAGTCGTTCTGTCTTCGTACGGGATTTCTCATCAGTGCTCATACACGATAACACTCGCGGGATCTGAACCTAGGACCTTCGGTCTCGCTCTCCAAGGATTAACGAGATTATCGATCGATGAATTTAAATTTGATTAGTTACGAGATAAGTAAACGATACATGACATATTTTAATTTTGGAATTCAAGACGCTCGTTTCGTCCTATTTGGAAATCGTCAGCTCGATGTACTTGAGTCCCAGAGTTAGTTCTATTTATTCTATTTTACTTATTGTAAAAATCAGTTGACTATTTATGGTTAATATACCACAAAATCTTCATGTTCATCGCCTAGCATGATATCCAACTTTGTTCCGTTATAAAAACTGGTAAGCAACCTGAATTGTGACAGTTATAACAACTGAACTGAGTAGTATTATGTAAAGTAACCATGTACTTGCAGATTTTCTTATGAATGTCTTCTGCTTTTATAAAATAGTAATTTATAACACTAAATGATGCTAAGACATGAATTTTATAAGTATATGAAAACAGTCAAAAGTGGGACCTTATCAAATAGGTCTACCTGCTAGTAACTACTAGTAACTGCAATAACACAGTTTCATGTTTACTTCCAATTATTCATCAATAGCTTTACAACTGAACTGTACATTACTAATATATAAAACTACAATAAACCATATTGCACAATAAATGTTAACTGATCGATTTATCACACTATAAATAACTCACAATTCTACAACAACAACAACAAAAACCCCAGTTACATTCAATATAACACATACCAAATTATTCAACTCGTTCATTCCTACAAGAATGTCTCGTGTTTACTTACTGTTCTCTTTTGGCAATATATACATTTATATACAACACTAACATATCAACAATCAAATAACATATGTTGAATAAGGTGAAAATGATCAATTTGTTACATCTAGGGAACATCACATTATGGTTTGATAACACATGAATGATAATGATAATGACGCTTATGATTTCAAGAACAATTTAATTAACATTTTTCAATGTGAATTTTCTAATATTACTTACTTGCTTATACCTGTTACTCCCATTGGAGCGTAGGCTGCCGACCAGCATTCTTCATTCATCTAATATTATTTAACCCATTTTTTCAGTCATTCAGTGTTTATTACTCGGAACATTTGAGTCAGTTTACTTGATTATTCACCATCGTTCAGTTAGATATAAATCGATTGGGATCTACAAGTATGTTATGGGAAAAGTGTGTTCATCATATCAAACATTCTGTTTATCGTAAACTACACTCAGTTTTATTTTACTCATTCACTCACTCACTCACTCAAACTGTAACAACATCTTCGTCAAGGTGTTTAGCATAACTTCACTAGTATTGCTTTTCAGATCATTAGACGTCCTATCTAATTTTATAATAATTTTGAATGTTTCTACACTAACTAGTTTTCCAACGGTTACTTCACAGGAATTCTTGGTATACTTGGTGCTTTTAAAGGATTTGTTAGACTGTGACACCTGAAGAATATTTTCTTTCTAACGGTGACCATCATATCAAATGACGTTTCTGATTGATATCTGTGATTAGCATATCGTTGAATTGTCTGTTACAATTCTCACTGAAATCGACGTTTCTATGAGATGAGCTCTGAATAAAGATCGATTTTGTTGAATGAATTCAATGAAAGGAATCTGCCTATTCATTGTTCTTCATGACAGCCAATCAATCGTTAGTGAATTTGCCCTAAATATTATCGTAAAATTCAGTGGATGGAAAATTTATTCGATAATTTACAGAAAGGTTTCAGTCATTCCAGTAAGTTGTAATAATCGTTTCTACTGGACTCGTCATATTCGCCTATAGTTTGAGTGTTGTGGAGATGGATCAGCCTCAGAGATGAGATTGTAATCTGTGGACGAACCAATCAGATTTACGATAACAGATCTTGTATTTCGGGGCGATATTAATTCACTCATTTTGTAGTGAACGAAAACACAAGTGGGGACAATCGAATGCATTCGAATGCGAAATTACAGGACATCTTAGTAAAATCTGAGAACCATACAGTAAATTTCAATCAATCATCTCAGACTTCATTGTTCTTTCGTTCCC